CAAGAGACAGTTGGCAGAGGCAGCAAGTCTTCCAGGCAGGTGGGTTCCACAGAGGCTGTGGGCTTGCATTTGCACTCCTTTTCCCCCTACCAAATCCTAAAGCACAGGGTTTAACATCCTCCCTACCTGGCATGTTGTTCCCATGTTTCTAACATCAGTGAGATCTCTGTCCATTTACCTCCTGTGCTGCAAAGCACCAAACAAAGCATATTCCTCTTCTGGAGAGGTGGTAGCTGAAACTGTCTGTAGTTCCACATCTTTGTCCTGGAGATCCCAGATCTGAGCATTTGGATGTGTTTGTTTCATGGTTAAAGAGGTAAGGGACAGAGCTGAGGGTGGCAAGACAACCACCAGCAGGTGTGTGGATACGTGATTAGTCAAGGTGAGGTATGTACACATATGAGCTACATCATCCCAACAGTAAATCTACCATGAGCTTTGGGACACGAGTGAGGAAGAAGTCTACAGGTGAACTGTGAGAGGGCAGCTGCGGACAGTGAGCACCTAGCCTGCAGATGTTGCTTGTCTCCACCTGCTGCAATGGTCCAGTTGGCTTTGTAAACATAACTCATGCTATGGAGATGTCTTTTGTGGGCAGCAGAGACATTTCTAATGTGTATATTGTCCCATGTAACTCTGGATGTGATGTATCTGCTGCTCCCAGAACTTGCTTTTGCCTGCTCACAGACCTGCAACCCTGGATCTGGGTTCCTTTGGACTTATGCTTGATTAAGAACAGAACACTAAGTAATGAGTGTTACTGAAAAAAAAACTGCTCCAAAATCAACAGCACGTTTCCAGAGAGCCCACTTCTTAATTATGTACCTGGAACACCTTGAAGTCCTGCTAGACCATCTGCAAGCTACAGGATTCACCCAGCACAGTGAGATGGCATCTTGAGTACCCATTTGTTTTTTGTTTTCTTTCAGAGCTGATATGGGGAATGTGCAGGAGGACAGTGGGTTTTGAATGTTCTGTGTCAGATTTTAGCTGTGCAGAACTGGCCATCAGGCAGCAGTTCTGGTGGATATGCAATGCCTTATAGCCTCTGTGGTCACTCAGTGCACAGCCTAGAGCTGTGCCCTAACAAACATATCGTGGGATAGGCTGGAGGAGCAGTTGGGTGTGACTGCATTTGCAATACAAATCATAGTCTTCACTGAAATGGTTCTCCTCCCCTTGTTTCTTTTATCTCTTTTTAAACCAAACTCTAACTGTGTGACTTTTTTTTTTTTTTTAATCTAATTTGCTGTCAGAATTACTGTCTCATCCTAGAAAATTGAAAAGAAAATACAGTATTTTCCCCCCCTTAACTGACAGTCTGGTCTTTCCTTAAGCAGTTCGAGGTGTTGAAGGCCTGGTGTCTCCCAGACCTGAGGGCTCAGTATTGCTGGTAGCTCACTTGTGTGGACTCGTACATGTTTGAGCAGGTTCTCTTGGTTAAGGAAATACACTGGCAGGCTGTTAGGTTTCTCGGTTTCTGTGCATTAGAAACAGCATCTGCAGAGTGACGTGACAGTTCTACCTGCTTGCTGCTGGGCCAGCTAGAACAAGCTTTTGCTGGGCTTTAAACAAAATGTGGTCCTGTAGTGACTAAGACAAGACTAATTCCAATGTAAAACCCATTAAGACATGGGGTTTGCATTCCAAGAATCTGGTGATGAAGACCATGGGGTGTTCTCTTTTTTTGGAATGTAGCAGAAATCCCTTTCTCTTACCTGGCTGAGTGGCTTTTAGTCCTTTCACTGCTGTATGGAAACTGAAGATGATGATGCAGAATGAAGGCCCCATGTGCCAGGTGCAAGATAAGAGCTAATCCCTGCTTTGGAAAAAAACATCTACATAAGTAAGGCAGATGCAGCCAAGTCCCATCCCACTTTCTGAATGCAGATCTAAGCATGCAAAGAGCTTAAATGATTCCCCTACTGGCATGTCCAGAGCCTCTATTCCCCTGAGATGCTCTAATACCCCAATCAACCCCTTTCCTATGTTAAAGGGATGGCTATAACCCAAAAGGATTGGCTGGGTCATGAAAACCAACTGTTCAGCCCAAGGGGAGATGTCATTGAGAAAATATGAGGGTGTTGTTTTTGCAGTGGGGATCGTGCCTGGGCCGTTAATCACGCCGTGTTAGACACGGTGCCTCAGCAGGGACAGTCTCAGCCTTGATCTTGGCCAAGAAATGGGGAAGCCAAGAGCCAGGCTGTCCTCAGCCAGGCTGTCCTCCCATGCTTTGCCATGGGGAGCAGAAGGCACCCAACCTGTGAGCAGCCTGGACTCAGCCCTGGCTTATATTACCTGCAAATGCTCTGGTTTGCATCAGTTCTCGTTTACTGCACCACCTCTGCAGAACTCCATCTGCGTGACAATTTGATGGCTTACTGCTTATTAAAGTGTCTCCACTAATTCAAAAAGGATAAATATTTTCCTTCCACCTCTCCTCTGCAGCAGGGTGCCTGGTCTGATCCTTCCTCTGCTACCTCGGGGGTTGCCAAAAGGCTGCTTCTCCCCCAGCCCACAGGGAGGGGAGTCAGACCTGTGTTTATGGAGGCAGCACGCTGCTCTGGCTGGCGCAGCAATTTGTTGCGTACAGAAACTATTTTAATAACCACGAATGACTAAGCACGTTGTTTGGGACTGGTGACTCCTTTTTCCGCTCTTTCTTTGATCTATTTATTTTTAGGCTCCACTGGGAAGGGAAAAGGAGTAGAGACTGAAAGCCAGAAGACAGGAGAGAGAAACCCAGGGAAAGTGGGACGATGGGATCCACCTTTCCAAGCTGCTGCCCACCTCAGCTTGTGAGGCTTGGCAATCCGTTGAAGACTTTCCAGGGTAGAACAGGAGTGAGCACTGAGGTGCCTGTGGTCTTTCTCTGTTGAGAGAAGGAGGGTTGAGTCCTGCTGATGGCCTTCCAGGAGGCTGGAGCAGGATTTGAGGTGGAAGTCTCAGTTCTGACAGTATGTCTTACAATACTCCATTGTGCTGTAGCATATGCATCTCCAGCATGGGTACAAAATTGTTCTGGGGTAGGAGATACCTTCCTGTTGTGTAGTCCTCGAATTAGAGGGCGCTCTCTCTCACATGCACATGGCTTTTAAAAACCCACGTAAAATAGGAGTATACAAATAATGCATAATTTTTTATTGTTTTTATTATTCTTATCATAGAACTGGGATTAGGTTGAGAGGGACCTCAAAGCACAATTCCAGTTCCACACCCCTCCCCCTGGGAACAGTGTTGCCTCTCACTGGATCAGGTTACCTGAGGCCTCATCCAACCCAGTCTTTAAAACCCTCTTCATGTCAGCATGTGCCCTCCCCGGTTGGGGCTATGCTTCCAGCACCACCCTGCTGCCTCCTCCACATCCTCTCCGATTTCCTTCTTGCTACTCATCCTCTCTCCTTTGCTGACGTTTGGAAGAGAGCAGTACACAACTTCTGCAAGATAAACAAACAACAGGCTCATCCTGGAATGATGTAAACCTGTTGTTTGCGAGTGGAGGAGCCAATGACATGGAAGAACATGAGACACAGGTGGGGCTGTGCCCCATCCAGGCTGGTACCTGTCCCCAGCACCATGAGATGCCTCAGAGGAAAGCCATGAAGGGAATTTGGGATTCAGGAAGCCTTTTGTCTCATCCCTCTGGTAGACACTGGTAGTTACCCATGCCGATGCTGTTGTGTCTGTTAGCCACCTGGTTTGATCTTTGATGTCCCCTGCAGGCTTGGTTGCACCAAATAAAACTGTTGGCCCCTTGTATTTCCCCTTCATTTTTTGCCTTATTTCCCATTGACTATTAAAGTCATTGTTCTTCTATGGGACCATGTGGTTCCCTGATGATCATTTTTCGCTGTGCAGAAGATTTGAGTTTTCACTCTGGGGTTCTGAATGTTTAGCCAATGCCCAGGACCTTGTAATTTGAGAATTAATGGCATAATCAGAAATTTCGTGCTACCCTGCTTGTTTACAGGGCCTACATCCAGGATCAAAGCCAGGACTGCCTGTTGTGTTGGCTTTCCAGTTAGTTCCAACACACACAGTAGCACTGTGGAATTTAGGACCTCCTCAGCCCACCAAGCCACGGGACAGTGGCATAACCTAGGATGGGCAGCAACCTGCCTGCAAAAGGTTGCATTGCTGCTCCTGGAGGAGGAATGCTCTGCAAGGTTGCAGGCTGCAAAAAGCTGCACGAGTCAGTCGTTGTTCCTTAACTCAGCATGTTGCGGGCAGGCTTAAAGCACTTAGTGAGGATTTCCCTTCCCCTGCAGGTAATGCCTGCATAAGCTTTTATTTTACCCAACTCTTCACAAGCCTTAGTGGCTCATCTGCAGGATTTCTCTGAGCTTTCTCTGCTGCCCTTCTGCAGCTGCCATCACAAAGCCACCTGCGCCGGGCTGGCCTGCAGGGTGACATGGTGTGTCCTCCTGAGTGACCTGCCTGTCCCTGCTGCTCTCTGCCGCCGCAGCACTCAGATTTGGGTTCCCACACGGCCCTTGTGGCACTTGGAGGCCCTTTTTGTAATCCTGTGCCAGTGACCATGGCCAGGTCCTCCTGGCCTCATCCGTCCTTCGTGGCATCCCTACTGCCCACTCCAGAGCAGCCACACACCTTGTACCCATACCATGAGCTCTGCTACTATCACTATCACTTTTCCATCCACCCAAGGGCACAAATGGCACTGTTTGCCCCACCTCACCCCATGATTTCCTGCCACATCCGTGGGAATAAAGTACCATGGTCCCTGTGGGTGACACTGGGGCTGGGGGAACCAGCTGGCTGCTCCTGCCGGGCTGCTCCTCATTCCAGGAGGCACGAGCAGTGGGCCGAGCCCTCCCTCAAGAAGCACACTCGGGGTGCTGCCCAGCCCCGAAGTATCCCCCCCCCCCACCGACGCGGCCCCCCCCAATCCCCAGCTCCAGCGGCGAGGAAGAGGCAGTGCTGAGCCGGATATGCTGCGGCTCCCGCAGCCCTCCCTGTAGTGTCCCCGCCGCTCCTCCCGATGCCTTCCGAGGAGACGGATGGACGGACGGACGGGCAGCGAGAGGTGCACCGCTTTCCTAATGGCACGGCTACGGAGGGGGGCGAGGGAGGGGGAGGCAGCCTCTTCCCACCCCCTTCCATATCCCCTGTCCTCATCCCCTTCCTCCTCCTCCTCCTCTTCCTCCTCCTCTCCGGCCACGATATTCACCAAAAGGGAAGGGGGAGCTGCTGGCAGGTGGAAGGGATGGGGGAATGCAGCCCCGGCAGGAATCCCGCAGAGGGGAGGGCTCGGCGAAATAATAACAATAATAACGATAATGACAACAATGATAACAAAACCACGCCGGGAGCGAGAGGGGGGGAGCGGGGAGGACGCGGCGCTGTGCCGCACTGAGCCGCCTCCCGCACTGCTCGGCACAGCCCGACCGCGGCCCCCGCGCTCCCCATCCCGGGATGGGACGGACGGCACAAGGCCCGGACAGACCGACAGCCAGAGGCACAGCCGGAGGGACGGACGGACGGAGGACTGCGGGCGGGGGCAGCGCGGCGGTCTGGCAACTCTCCCCGCAGCGCTCCCCCTCCACCCCGCCCCGCTCTTCCCAAGTGCTTTTTGCGCTTTGATGTGTTGCTTTCTCCTCGCGTCGCCCCGTGATCCCCCCCCTCGCCCCGCTATCCCCACCCGAGATGCGGCCCCGTGCCCCCCTGCGCTGCCCTCCCCTTCCTCCGATCCCCCCCTCCTTCCCTCCGCTGCCCTCTCCCCCGCTCCTCTCCCCGCTCTCTCCTCCGCCTCCCGCTCCCTCAGTCTCTCTCCTGCCTCCCCCCCACCTCTCCCCTTTCTTTTTCCCCCCCTTTCTTATCTCCCCCCCCTCCATCCCCATTTCTCACTTCGCCAGGGCAGAGCGCGGTGACGCCGCCGCCGCCGCCACCACGGAGAGGACGCAGGACCCTCCCTTGGGCCCCCCGTGCCCTTTTGACGGGGCGGCCTGGGCCCCCCGACCCCCCCCCGGGCCCCCAGCAGGGCTGCTTCGCATGCATCGCCAAGCCCCCGGCCCTCCGGCACTCCTCGCCCGTCCTCTCGCCCTCCTCTGCCGCTCAGCTGATGGAGAGCAAGGGCTGCAAAGGGGACAGCCTGCGGCCGGCGGGCCCGTGCAAGCACTCGGTGGAGAAGAAGACCATGACCAACCCCACCACCGTCATCGAGATCTACCCCGACACCAGCGAGGTGAATGACTACTATCTCTGGTCCATCTTCAACTTCGTATACCTCAACTTCTGCTGCCTCGGCTTCATCGCTTTGGCCTATTCTCTGAAAGTGAGTGCTGAGCGCCAGGGGGAGCGCGTTGGGGCCGGGGGTAACTCACATCCGTGCCATCAAAGCAGGAGGTTGCACCACCGGCTGTGGGGATGGGGATGGAGACAGGGAGGTGGCGACGTGGCTTGAAGCTGAAGGCGTTGTTTGGTGGAGAAAGGGCAGTTGGACCAAATGCGCCTTCCCAGTGGCACATACCACATGGGCATCCTGCACTCTGGCACTCGATCACTTCTTTGGGGCAGGCAGGGACCTGGTAGGATGAGATGCAGCAGCACTGCACTGTGGGGCAGGAGCCGTAGGTGCCATCAGGAAGCACTGTTGGTCAAGTCGTAGTAGGAGAGGTTGCCAGCACAGGGTAATGCTGCCTCTTTGCTTCTTGTCTTATCTCCCACTAAAATCCCCAAAAGATGAAAGCTGTGAGGGGAGCAGCCTAGCTGGGATGTGAGATTCAGCACCGGAGCACCCAGGAGCATCTCAGGAGCTGCCACAGGAAAGGGCCCTGGGCTGCCCTTCCCTTCCTAGAAATGAGCCATACACACCCACAGAGAGCCCACGGCTGTGGGGCAGCCCTGTGTGGGTCACGCTCTGGGGACAGGCAGCCAGCTGACGTGCATTGGCAGCAGCATTTAGCGGGAGGCCAGCATGCAGCCCAGCTTCGTCATAGAAACAGATCAATGAACCCCAGGCAGCACTGGGCAGGGAGTGCTGGGCAGCCCTGGGCTCAGCCTGCACCAGTCCCCTGCCTCAGTTTCCCTTCTCTGAGGTTGGGGTTGTCCCCGTGCAGGAAGAATAGAGAGTTAAGGTTTTTCATCTTCAGGGCACCACGTAGCTACACCAGGTCTCCCTGTGGTCCCTGTGCTGCAGGCAGCAGTGGGGTCGGGACCTGCCTGAGCCATCCTGTGAAGCAGGGGGTAGGAGGGATTCCCTGGAGGTCTGTGGTAGCCGTGGCTCCTTGTTTGAGGGGAACACACAGCCCTTGGAAACAAATTAGCATGGGGCAGATAGGCTGGTGGGTGCTGCCCAAGACTGGGCTGGGTGCTGAGACAGAAAGAGGGACAGAACGGGGTCACAGCAACAGTGGCAGCATTAGGTCTAGACTGAGAGGAGCATTGGGACACTTTGTGCCCTGAGCCCATAGGTGTCTCTGCAGGCACCCCAGCATATGGTAGCACTTCCAGCAGCTTCAGCATGTTCTGACAGTGGGTGCACAACTCAGTACTGAGCTGGTGTGGGGCCTCTGGGTGCCTGTGCTGCTACCTGGGACCTGTCTGTGGTCCTTCAAAAAGATGCCAAAGCAGCTCACCAAGGTATTTAAGCTCTTACACAAAGAGATATATGAAGTCGGGTAGAACGAATGCAATGCTATCCCAGCCAGGCTCTCCATGTGACCCATAAGGAGCTCCTGGGTGATACCATGCTGCACGCCTCTCTGTTTCCCCTATAGTGGGACAGGTGCTTGGCAGCCGTGGCTCTCAGATTATATCCCTCAGGGCTGTTTCTGCACCTCAAGGTCAGTGCGGTGGAGCAGGAGTGCTGTGCCAACTCAGAGCTGTGTGCACTAGGCTGGGGCAGAGGAGATGAATGGCAGCACCAAGGGAGATGAAGCCCTTTGGTCACCTCCCTGCAGGCTTAGGGCCACTCCAGCACTCTGGGTTCCTTCCCTTTGATCAGAATGCACTGCTGCAGCTCTCTCACATTGTGGCTCCACGGGCTGCCCCTCTTCCTAACTCCCAGCAGTAATGAATGGTGCATTGGAGCACGGTGTCAGGAGCTCCTGCTCTGGAGCTCTATCTCTAGAGAGCACCAGGGGAAACCAACAGCTCTCTGAGCACCAATTAGGCAACGAGGCAGGAGCTGGGATAAACTCCACTGCAGGAGCCGTGCTTGGACTGCACTGACATCAAGGCAGCAAGGCTCTCCAGTGGCATTTGGAACCCATCCGGCAACCCGTGTGGCTGCTCTCAGAGCTTTGCTGCCAGCAAGGCGTGAGGCACACGGTGATACGATGGCTGGATTTGCTCCCAGCTGATCTGCGGAGCAAATAAACCACAGGATTCGCTCCAGAGCAAAAAGCTCCTTACGCGCAGGGAAGCAGAGCGCTGTGTGGGAAATGGGTTTACAGCCAAACCAGCCTCTTCCCAAAGCGTGCCTCCACCAGCTGCAGGCTGAATACTGAGCGCAGGCTGCCTTCAGCATGGCCTCATTAGAGTCGTTATCAGCAAACCATTTGTCTCCTTGGGAAAGCTGACACAGCACTGGTACCCACCCGCAAGCGTCTGCTCCTGAGTGAGAGCTGCGCCTGAAAGCTGAGATGGGAAGTGGGAAAGGAATGGGAAGGGTGGGGATGGAACGAGGAGACAGCATGTAGCGTTGGTGGAAGAGGAATGGAGGGAGGTGAATGTGTGATGGGGCTGAAGGAGGGGAAGGGAGTAGCCTTGAATGGGGTGGATCTCCAGCACAGCCCTCGAAGTGCTTTGGGGAAACTCCCCAGTCAGCAGATGTGGGATAACCACCCTCACCTATCAGCTATCTCCATGGGAAGAAGGACCAGGATCCCAGGATAACTTCAGGCAAGGTGGGCAGGATCAAAGTGAAGATGATAAGAAAAGTGTCTGGGACTGAGACAGCACCTGATCCGGGGTCAGGGTGTTTATATGGACGTGGGGACCTGTCCTCACTTTGGGAAGAAAGGAGACAGCTTCCAGGCTCAGACCGCAAGCAGTCTGGAGCAGGAAACACCTTTTCATTATGCTTGTGTGCCGCAGGGACTCCGTCATTCACCTGGAACTCACAGGCAATGTAAATGATAGTGGCCAATATGGGATATTTGCATAAGGATGACAGCTGAAGTCATAAGGTGTGTGGGAAAATAATAAGGGAGGAGAGGAAAGGACTACGCCAAAGGGCTTGGTGAGAATGAGAGATGCATGCAACCAAGGAGGCTGGGGGCAAAGCTAAGGGCAAGAGAAAAGATGTGGGCTGCAGGTGATAGAGAACATGGGGAGAGCACCACTTCCTATAGGGTCTGCAGGAGCAGGTGGATGGGAAAAGAAGAAACCAGGGGCCCACCAGGAGGGGGAAGGAGCCTAAAGCAAGGTTAAATCAGGGGCATTGCCATGAAGGGAAGGGAAAGGGAGATGGAGGGGCCAGGGAGAAATTAAGATGTTGAGAGATGGTGTGTAGCATGGGAAAGGATGAAAGGTGGGAGCACTAGGAGCAAGCTAGGAGAGAGTTCCAGGGAAGGGAGGAGCAGAAGGTGAGGAGGCGGGGAGATCTCAGGGCAGGAATACCAGGTCCCACAAGGGCACAGCAAGCAGAAGAGTGTAGAGCCCAGAGCACCAGCCCCACTGGTCTGCATGGGTCAGGATCCTCACCATGATGAAGTCACCATTTCTGGAGGTGTTCAAGAGCTGTGTGGGTGTAGCACTGAGGGATGTGGCTCAGTGGGCATGGTGAGGATGGGTTGAGGGTTGGACTTGGTGGTCTTTTCCAACCTGAATGATTCTGTGACTGTATGAAGAGGAGGATACCTTGGGGCTGCCCTTCACTTCAAGGTGCCCACTCCAGCAAACTGGAGCTTCGCATCTCTCCAGGCTTTTGGGAGGATGCAAAACCCACAGAACAGTTCCTGAGGTGACCCATCCTGGGCACAGAGCTGCCACAAAGGGCAGCAGGATTGCCACCTTCCCTGAGGTCACATCCCATCCAGGCAGGCTACCAAGCCAAGCATAGTATGTGATGGCCACAGCATGGTATTGAGCTGGGACTCCCCTGGCATCCACTCAGTGCAAAGACATAGAGAAAAGGCTTCTGCCAATGCCTGACTGCTGTACAGGTCCTTGTGCACTTGGCTGGCCCCACTGCTGCTGTCTGTGCTCAGAGCCCTGCAGGAAGGGCAGCACATTGATGCGAAGCTGCATGGCCCAGAAGGACAGAGGGGTCCAGCAGCCTGTCCCTGTGCTGGGCAAGTGGCATCAAGCTTCTAGGAGAGCACTGCAGGAGGAAGAGAGAAAAAAAAAGTGGCTGAGACGTGGGCTGAATGCGGCACAGGATGTTTGCAGAAAGCTCCTGGTCGATAAGAGGTTTTTTATGTTTCTAGGAGGACTCTGAGGCTGCTGCAGGATTTCACAGCCTGCCACCGACACCTAGCGTTCAGCCAGCAGCACCTTGCTCATGATAGCAAGCACGGGGGGTGAGCGGGAGCGCAGCTCCAGAGCCCTCTGGCACTGAGCGAGCAGCACCGCACACGCTGCACCATCCCAAGGGTGCTGCCAACACGATGTGGGAAATTGGGCAAAATTCTCTGGTGCCACGTCCTCTGTGCTCCGGGTGCTGAGTGCCATCTGCGAGAGGTCTGGCTACGGGGATGTGGCCGTGCTGGAAAGGAATAGAGCACATTCCAGGGGTGAGCATTGCCATCCCTGCCTGGTGATGCCACCTGTTGTCTGGCGATGCCATCCAGGGCTTGGCGAGGCCATCTATCATCTAGCGATGCCATCCGCTGCCTGGCAGTGCCACCTGCTGCCTGCTCATGTCATCGCTACTCCTGGCAGCCTGGAGGAGGTGGGGACGAGCAGGTGACATGGACGCGGGAAGTCCATGGTTGTCCTAGCCTGTAGGATAACAAGGACAGCACCCGTGCTGTAAGGTTCATAGAATGGTTTGAGTTGGAAGGGACCCTTAAAAGCCATCTGGTCCAACTCCCCTGCAGTGAACGGGGAAACCTACAACTCAGTCAGGAGCTCAGAGTCCTGTCCAGCCTGACCTTGAATGATTCTAAGGATGGGGCATTGCACCTCTTGGGCAAACTATTCCAAGCTGGGAAGTGCCCTATGGTACCTTGCTCCAGCTGGTGCAAACCCCAGAGCTGCCAGGATGTCATGGCATGACGGGAGAGTCCATCAGCACCCAGATCTCTCTGGGGATGCATTATTACTTTTATTACATCATTTTATTACATAGTATCACAGCACATCTCCCAGTTAATTTTGTTTTTCTGCCTCAGGTCCGGGATAAGAAACTCCTCAATGACTTAAATGGTGCAGTGGAAGATGCCAAGACAGCCCGGCTTTTTAACATCACCAGCTCAGCCCTTGCCACCTTCTGTATCATCCTCATCTTCATCTTCCTGCGGTACCCCCTCACTGATTACTAGCAGGAGGCCAACAGCAGCGCTGCCGCCAAGATGCCTCTATGCCAGAAGTGTCTGCAGTTGTTTCCTGTAGCAAGGACACGAGAGTAAAACAACCCCATCATGATGGCAAAAAAAATAAAAATTAAAAAAAATAAAAAATAATAAAAAAAAAAGAATAATAAGAATAATTTAAAAAAAATCAAAAAAGTAAATACAGAAATAAAAAATAAATGAGTTTATCAGCCCGGGCAAGCGTACTCTTCCTGCTCGTAAACAGTATGTGGACTGCTGTAGGAAAGGGTTTCACTTTTGCAATTGTGTAGGAAGGAAAAGACACCAAGAAGATCTTACTTCATGGCAAATGGAGCTGTGTAATGTGAGTGTGCAAAGCTGAGAGCTAAATGTGTGGCCAGATGCATGGCCATAGAGGCCTTTGGGCTACAAGACAGGGTTGGGAGGAAGGCGGCATGCCCAAGGGCAGTGGGATGGCCAAGGCTCAGAGCATATCAGATGCTTTCAAACTGCCCACTGCCCCACAACGTTCTGTTGTTTTCCTTCCGTGATGCAGTTCTACTGAATTTAATTCATGTGTTGAGATAACCATCCCGGAGGGCTGAGTGTTAGGGTATTGGTGTCAGAGAGCCCCAATGCCTCCAGGTCAACCCCAGCGCATTAAGGGGCAAATTTCTCCTTGGGATCACCCAGCAGTGTTGAGGACAAAGGCATCTCCGGAGAACTCCATGTGCTCTGTGAACCAAGTGCTACTGTATTTCCGTAACACGGTCAATAAAGATACCTCTGATATCTGCTGCTGCTGGGTCAATTATCGTAGCATCATCGGATCATTAAAGGATGGAAAAGACCTCTAAGATCACCAAGGTCCACTCACAACCCATCCCCACCATGCCCACTGGCCATGTCCCTCAGTGCCACATCTCCACTGTTCTTGAACACCCCTAGGGATGGTGACCCCTGTTTCTCTGGTTGGTCTCCCCTCTTTTTGCACAAAGACAGGAAGGATGGACAACGCTGCATGCTAGGGAAGGGACAGGATGAATCATCCACATTCGATGTGCTGCTTAAAAAAACACCTTGTATTTCTTGAGTTTTTAAGATGAGAGAGCTGAGGGGAAGCTACATATCCCTGAGCCTTTGGGATATGCCAGTCTCTGGGGATGGCTGAAGAGATAGGGCAAAGAAGCAGAGACTCGCAGCTCACTGGCAAGAGACAATGCCTGTGTCCCCGGCGGCTGCTTAAGGGAGTGTCAGGCAGGGATGAGGGATGCAGGAGGACGTGTGCCAGGTTGGAGAGCCAGGACTGCGCTGACCCCTGCAATGCTCAATCGGCGTCGGGCAGAGCCAAGGCAGCCAGGAGGCAGGCTCCCCCCACCGGTGGTACAAGAATGAAGAGCTGTAGACTGAACCTTTGGCTCTCCAGGCTGCACGAAACGTCAGCTCTGTGCCATCAGCCCCAGGTCATAGCATGAACAAATGGTCAGGCCTGGGATAAAATACAGCTCCCTGACCTCTTTTCTAATTGCATATGCTGCAGCTGCCTCATCTTCAGGTGTAAAATGAGCTCCTCAGCACACGGCAATGTCTGCTCTGTTTCTCTTCCCTTCACTGAGGCTTTTCCAGCCTTGTTGCACCAGGAGGAGGCATACACTCCAGAGGAGAAATGTGGGACGAGGTGATGAAGCATGTCAGCAGCAGGACAGTGCCCTCAGGAACATCAGTGCTGCCCGGAGCTCCTCTGCACTTCATCTATGGGCAAAGTGATGGACCTTTGTCTTGACCTCTTAAAGTCCAACAAGGAGAAGGGCAGAGTCCTTGAGCTTTGCCCTGGTGATCACCTCACAGGTGGTTTTCTATGTGGAGAGCCCTGGCTTGGCATGCAGGAGCAAGGTTGCTCAGATAAAGGCAGAGCTGAAACAAAGCTGGATGCAACCCAGAGCCATCCCTCCTGCCTCTAACAAGTGTGACAAATGAGTGCCACCATCTCTTCCTCCACGGGCTGCCCCAGTCGAGGGAGGGCGGTTGCTGCTGTAATGAACCAGGGGAATATTGCACTGACACTGCAGCATTTTTCATGCATCACCTGCCAGGCTGGGCTATTATTAGCACCACTGTGCTTATTATTTGCTGCCAAGAACACCCACGTTTGGTGAGGCATCTCCGTGTAAACGCTGCAGCAGGGCCGAGGTGCACCAAAACCTGCAGAGGGATTGATCACCCCTTCTTTGTTTCAGCTCGGAGGGAACACGGGAATGAAAAGCAGCAGCCAAATATCACTGTGATTTCTTTTTTCAGTGGTGTGGGAACATTCTGGAGAGGGAGAGCTTGCCAAGGCTGCCATCAGCACGGCAGAAGGAAAGATTTGGTGCTGCTGCTCTGCCTTTTCACTTCTGCCACTCGCAGCTCTGCTGGGCTCACTCCAGCTCACACCTTTTCTTGGCTGTGAAGATGCAGCCTCTGTTGCATTCAGCAGCAAAAGCAACAACTGAACAGAGGGGTGGGAGAGAGGAACCGTCAGATGCCTGAGAAGCCTTTTGAATTCAGGAAGGAAGGATGGTTACATCGTCACGTGATGATTTCACTGCACTCTCCAGCAGCACATCAGGAGACCAAGAGGTGGCTCTGGGCAGTCTCCTGAAGTCTCTCTATGGGACCTCACAGGGAGAAGGGTGCCCTCGTGTGTAAGCATATGCCACACACTTACGCAAGCCCGAGGCTCAGCGCTGCCACCTCTGCATAGAGGCTGCCAAGCCAGTTTGCAGGCAAATCCCAGCTGGGTTGAACTGGTTTGGATTTCCTCCCAGCAGCAACCGTGACCCCGTGGCTCTTCTACGTCAATGAGTTGACTGCAAGAAATAGGGCAGAAGGGAGAGCAGAGCTGGCACCCAGTTTGGGTAATGACGGTCAGCCCGGCTCCAGCATTCTCAGCTTCCCACAGGGTGAGCAAGCAGCCCCTATTTTGCACGAGGCAGTGCTGGAGCCCCAACACCCAAAATCCCTGTGTGTTCCCTCCAGTGCTGCTCCACTGGGCTTTGTGAGCTGGAGCTGCCCCTTTGCTCAGTGCCATCAGATCTCGGTTCAGGGTTAGGGTGCAGCTGGAGTCCTGCAGATGCAGGGGAGCAGCGGGGTGCTGGTGGGTCTGCCTGCTGCTCCAGGCACGATGGATGCTGCACAGCGGGCCCCACAGTGCCCAGCTCACCATGCGGGAAGGGTGGGAGGCACAGATGGCAGCAGATGCTCTCATCACTGAAACCGATTTCAGCAGCATAGAAAACAAAACAAAAAAAAAAACCCTAGCAACTGATGAGCAGCTGAACAAAACTCTGCACGGGGTAGGAAGAAAGAGTCCAGTGCTGAGAGCCCTCAGCCCCGTGCAGAGCTGTCCTCACAGAGCCTCCAGCATCCTGCAGCATGATCGCTCCGTGCCCAGTACAAAGGTCCTGCTCCTCCCATCCCCTGACTTTGACTCATGCTCCGTGCAGAGGGATTTTATTCAGCATGCGTTTTGCTGCTTTTTCCCCTTTATTCCTCAGGCAGAGCTGCAGAGCTATGGCTGCAGCACGCAGCCGATAAATGGCACTGTGCATATCTCCAGCCTCACACTCCCCACAGCACTGTCTGCCTCCAGCAGCCGAGCACAGATTGATGCTGAAAGCAGTTCTTTGGGTGTTTAGAACAACAGTGGGTCAGAGGAAAAGCCTCTTGTTGGACTCATTGCTTTGGCAGAAATCTGCTTAGTTTGAGTTTTGTGCTTGGCTTGAGATGGCAATTACGGGTCTTGGAAAACGTTTGAGCAAAAATTACGATGTGTGCAAACATACTTTGCATTCAAAACACATTGCTAGGATGCAACCAATCTTCAGGTGTGCTGGAATATGAGAAAAAGAGGGGGAAAAAAAGAAAAAAAAAAACAACCATCCAAACCAAAATGAGGCAAATGGGGCAAATTGTCCCTCAAGAGGTTTTTATCCAAAGCAGAGCACCTTCCTCCAGCAAGGAGCAAGTGGCCACAGCATCGCTGCTCGGCACACAGTGGGGGGGACCCGGTCCCGGCAATGACAACGGCCGCACATCTGGTGCCCGGCAGCGCGGCGCTGCTTTGTTCTGCCACCGCGGCACCATCCCGGCCTTCCCCCATCGCCTCCCCCGCTAACATCGGGTGCTGCCGGGCCCCTGGGGCCGTACGGGACACCGAGCCTTTCTGTCCACCTCCCCTCCTCTCCTCCCGTTTGCCGCCATGGAGATGCTTTGGGGGTCGGATCTGACCCCGGGCCGGGACGGCGGTGTGCCAGAGCCGGGTTTGGAGAGAAGCTGCCGAAACGCCTTCCCTTCTAGCATGGCGGAGCGACCCCGGTGTGCAGGGGTTTCCGCACCCATCCGCTTCGCACTGATTCTTGCAGCAGAAGAGCCGAGGCTCAGGGCTAACAAACCAGCCTCGGTGATCTCCGAGACCCCGCGCACCCGGAGAGAAGAGAGCTAATTCCGAACATTCGGCATCAGCACGGGCGGCGGAGAGGTCGGCTCCCTCGATTTCATAAGCGCCAACAAAAGCCTAAAGCTCCTAAGCCCTAATCGGCCGCTAAAGCCGGAGCCGCCGCAAGGACAGAACCGCGCAGCGGGGCGCGCCAGGTGGGCCAGGTGGGTCACGTGACTCGCCGAGCCCCGCGGGCAGCAGCGCCCTCTGCCCGAGCCGCGGCTCCGCGCCGCTCCGCGCCCGCGGGGTGACGTCACCCTGCTCTGCGCCTCCCGCGCTGATTGGCTGCGGGTGACGTCAACGCTGTCTTTTTTTTTTTTTTTTTTTTTTTTTTTTTTTTTTTTTTTTT